GAAAATCCCACCTTTTTGTATGGCAGTGGATACAATGTCCTTACATATGACCAATCCATAATGGTGCTCTCCATCTTTGAGGATGGGAGGAGAGAAGAGATTCTTGGACTTTCTCTGTAGTTCAGCGTACACTTTCACAGCTATAGGGTGGCTCAGCTAACTAAACTATAGCAAGATTGGAGACCTAGTGTGTAACAGATGAAGTGGGTTGGTACTTTCTGGATTCACTGCCCCCCGCCCCGGGCATTATAAGATAAATAGCTGTTCCACAACTCTAGAGCGTTTTCATAGGTAACTGAATCAACTATGTATATTTGAGAGTTTTCATTTGCTTTATGATATTCAGCATATCCAAATTGATAAGGCTCCATATATATAAAGCAACCATCTCTACTCCTTGGCCTGAAAAAAAGGTTTCATTGAGGGGCTAGGGCATGGTAAAAGAACTCTTGATAATTAGCAACAAAACCACAAACTTTTCAATGAGTTTATCCTCCAGAATGGGACTCTCATGAGTCATTAAGGACAAATCCTCTTCTAGGAGACCTGGGCTACCTTCCAAAGAGGATAAAGAAGTTGTTTTGTCATGATCTGGGTATTAGCAACTCTCTCTCGCCTAAAGTCCACAGGGAAAAAGTGTGCAGAGCTCCTTTTGGATAGTGTATCATTAATTCTTTAGCAACTCCACTAGGTCAACTTAGAAGTGTCTTGCTCCTTAAAGTCTTCCCTTCTAATCACTCCAAGCAGAGTCCATGCATCCCTACTATAATTTGCATTGCAACTCTGTTACAATACCTCAATTTTCCTGTGATTTGCTATTTATGTGTCTGCCTTCCACAGTAGCCAATAGAATCATTAAAAGCCCAGTTTGTGCTAGATGATCTTGATATTTTCTGCACGAAGCACAGTGCTGGGCAAATAGCATACATCCAATCAGTATTATTTTAATCTTATTAAATCGAATTGATTTCCATTTGCCAAAACTAATATTGAGAATTATTTTTGTTCTGTGGGAGTCACTGAAGCTTCTTTCTTTCAAAGCAGATACAGCTATAATTTCTATATGAGGATCTTCTCTGATTTGAGGATGGAAGAGTCCTGCTTTGGCATGACCTTTGTCGTTTTCCTCTAGCCAGACAGCAGAGTGCATTGATGTATTTTCCTTATAGTTACTCAACTGTTCAGATTTGTTCCAATGTGAATCTCATGTTGATTCATTATTAATATTAATTTAACATCTATTTTAATAAATTATGATTAATTCCTTTCACTCTCATCACATTTTACATTTTCTTCTGCTAAAGTCAGTCTTTTCCCAGCTTGGATTTAACCCTCTGGCTTTGGAAGATTTTGAAGTTCTGCTTGATTCCTATCTCTTTCTTCTTGATACCCTGGGCTTTTCTCTCAACTCCATTCTATATGCCACAGTCAAAGTCATGTTTAATGCCTTGCTTTCTCCCCAGTCTGGATGAAAAATGGTCTATGTAGTATAATATATGTTACATAATATCTTATATGTTTTATATAAAATATAAAATAGATCCAATAAACTTATGTTTTAAGGTTTAATTATCAAAGTCAAAGTCAGTGAGTCAGTGAATGGTAAAACAGTGTTTACTTATATAATCCTTCATTCTTCCAATATTTCCCTTCATATTTATATAAAAATCTATACTTCTTACCATAGCTGACAAGGCCCAATAGGAAAAGACCACTAGAAACATCTTTGGTGTTATACCATCACACTCCTTTCGGCAGTCCCTCAAACATTCCAACATCCGTCCGTCTCAGAACCACTATACTGCTACTGCTCAGCTCAAAGGCCCTTTCCACAAATGTCTGGGTCATTGTTCAAAAGTCATATCCTCAGAAAGGTCTGCTTTTAACACACTCACTGCCTCAGCCTTCTCTTTCCTTTTATTCCCATTCATTTCTTTTAAATAGCCATATCTCTTTAAGTATTGACAGTAAGAAGAAAAATCCAACTCAATCACTGTATTGTTTTGTGTACCTCTGCCACATAGTAGACCTTCTTTAAATAATTTTAGATAAAACGGAATAAACAGCTTCTATTAAGACAACATGAATATATTTTTGGTCTAGTGAGATCAATTCTGGATTTATAAAATTATCTTATTAAGATATCTTGTGGTAAGCATTAAATAATATTACTGGCTGAGCACAGTGGCTCATACCTGTAATCCCAGTGTCTTATGAGGGTGAGGCAGAAGGATTACTTGAGATCAGGGGTTTGAGATTAGCCTGGGCAATATAGAGAGACCCTGTCTCTACAAAAATAAAATAAAATAATATTCTTTAAATATTAAAAATAATTCAATATTAGTGGAATGACTAAAAATAAAATAATTAAGATAGCTCATTAGCCTTTGTCTATGTCATTATAAAATTAATTAATTAGGTGCTTTGTTTTACCCCAAAATGCTAAGGTGTGGAGAAAGTAGACATAGAAGCAGAGTGGGTTAAAAGAGAAAATAGAAAAATCAGGGAAATAGGCATTAACTTTTATTGCATTATGCTAGATCTTTTATATTTGCTATTTCATTCAATCCTCACAAGTAGTAGTGTTTTTTATTTACAGATTTGAAAACTGAAGCATGGAGGAATTAACTTCTCAAAGAACAAATGTTATTATTAACACGTGATTTAAATAGATGTCTGATTCTAAGCTTTTTAATCTATATCTTGTTTTCTATATTATGTTAATTAATATAATTTAAAATGTTTAGAATGCAAGGAAATTGCATTCTAATTGAGGATATGTACAAATTAGATTACAGCATGCAATATAAATATTAAGGAAGACCAAAGCCTTGGGCTTCATTTTATGTCTTCATAAATGAAGACACGCTGCCTTCAGAGTTTCAGGAGGTCACTACATGTGGTATCTTCTTCTTGGTGGAAAACGGAAAAAATGCATTAATTTTTCTATTACCTCAGAGAGGCTGTCCCAGTTTTTCCTGTACCACAGGATTCCTAAAAACTTCTCTGATGCTTAAGATTCCTACACTTTTGCCCTATAGAGTCACCTCCAGAGTGATTTTAATCAACAAATGTCTTTTCTATCTAATTTCTGAAAAAATGCATCATATAAGAGGGAAAAATGTCCATAACTGTTGTTGGTAGCAAAACTCAACAAATGGAGCCAACTCTGAAAGAGCAAGAGCAGTATCTGCTAAGCCAGATCAGGAGGAAGGAGGGTAAGAGATGACTGGAGCCTTAAAAAGCTGAGGGGAGAGAGAAGAGAGGGTAGCTAATTTTAAGAGAGGAGCAAAAAGAAAACATTGGGAAGTATTACTATGTGCTAGATTAGATTTTTTGCTAGATTATTTTTATATTCAAATATTTCTGCTTTCAAAATCAGTTCATTTTACTTGTTTAAACTTGAAAATATATATTTATGTATGGAGCTCTGTGGCTTTATTTATGAACAGGAAGTAGTAAAATACCAAAATTACTACTTTGAGAATAAGAGATAGAGTTGGCACAGCCCTAATCAGTCAAAAACGTAGTTTGAAGATCTTCATGTAATAGATCAAAGTTGATCATTATGCCAACAAGGAGGTCACTTATATCAGAAGCTAGCTGATCTATAAATTGTCAGGTCCAGTCAATATTCTTTATAGTTTAGGTTCTTTTCCATGATATATGGACTATGATGAACTTTGATTTATTACATAAAGATCTTCAAACTTTGTTCTAACTTCTAGAACCATCCACATGCCACGTTGTCCCTCTCCCTCTTTGTTACTAGTATTTCAGTCTTTCTCCTTCCAACAGCCTGGGCAATCAGCCAAGTTACCCACCAATAACAATAAGTTGAATTTTTGTATATTCTTACACAGAGCCACCTCTTGTTTATACAAAGGGGATGAGCATGTCCATCAGCTGATTTGTTCATTGGCTATATTTCTCCTCAGCAGTATCTTTCAGGGTCACTCCAGAATGGATCAGTAACACATCTACAGTTCATTTTTGGCATACCAACTTTCCTCATTTATGAACTAATGTGGCCTTCATCCTCCACCAGCTGGTCATAAGGGATCATCCATGTAGCTTAGGGAAAGTACACCACATTGCAAGAGTAGTGCACTAACATCAGTGAATTTTGCATCACCTCTGTGCTCTTTCAGTGGTGCCTGACGATCTTACTTATGCCTCAGCCTGAGTATACTTCTTTCTGTAATGTGAGTAGAATTAGTACTCAAAGTGAGGTACACGCTGCCTTCAGAGTTTCCGGAGGTCACTACATGTGGTATCTTCTTCTTCGTGGAAAAGGAAAAAAAAATGCATTAATTTGTCTATTACCTCAGAGAGGTTGTCCCAGCTTTTCCTGTACCACAGGATTCCTAAAAACTTCTCTGATGTTTAAGATTTCTACACTTTTGTGTGGGTGTTTGTCTCTATCCTCTACCACCTATGGGGCACTGTGTTTTAACAAGAATGCCAATATACTTGCGTTTCATGCTCATCTACCAGATTAATATAATGTCATCGATAGAGTGGGCTAAGAAAATATTATGCAAAATGTCCAAAGAAAATAAGTATTTTCAAATTATTATAGAAGATGGAAGAGAATATATTTGCTACATCAAAAGCCACATACTTGATAATCAAGTCTCTGTTAATATTCCCTGGTGAAAATACTGCATCTGACATAGAACTTTCAATTGGTATTTCTACTTGGTTGAGATTGAAGTCCACAGTAGTCCTCCATGACCCTTTTCTTTACACACACAAAAGGAGCCAATAAGAGAGTCTACTTGACAAAGAATGCTCTACTTATAAAGAAATCTTGTGAGCTATCTTTCCTCTGAGTGCTGTCTCTGTTCACTTCAGATGACAGTTTTAACAATAAGCTGCTACAGCATGTCAGAGACCATCAACATTTCATCTGTAACCAGGGATATGGTTCTTATTGTGATGCATACAGTGGTTAATCCACCTCCAGAATTTCTTCTTGGCAATCTGTTTTTTAGAATCTTTCCTGGTATCAACTGGCTTAGGTTGGATTCTCCAGGAACAGAGCCTGTGATGGAGATTTTTGTGAAAATGATCTACTAAAAGGGCACTTTCAAAATAAGGGGAATAAAGAAGGTGCAATGGGACAGTAGATGAAAGATGAGCAATGAAGTGTTTTTGCTTTGTGAATGATGTCAGCCTGGTCTTACAAGGAGCTCTAAAATATCGGTTGAACCACAGAATTTGTCTAATATTGAGGCAAGAGGACAGCATTTTGCATCTCAGATTCAGCAAGTCATTTGCCACTGGTTCCCCCAAGGTGTGGAACATAGCTTTCTAAGCAAGTCAGATCCCAGTAGGCTCAGGGTAATCCTCAGGGAATAGGGTAGAAACAGGTTTGAGCCATTATCAGCTAATATTCACAGCATCTGTGACATTGATGATCCACTCTAGTGAAGGACATCTGGGCAGGGCACCAAGAGTACACCACATATGATAACAGTAGAAATGTAAGATATTTCAGATATATTTATCTCCTTTTGCCCTTTGTGTAATTGTTGGCATGCATTTTAAACTCTACGTGTACTTAAAATTTCTATGACAGTGCTGTTAATATTTTTGTGATCCTATTTGTTCATATTTAACTACTTATTTTCTTTATTCTCCACAATTTTGCTTTTCCATTAATGGGCATTTTATTCTGCCTGGACAACCTTCTGTTAGTAGTAGTAGTAGTTATACCAACATTGAAAATTGCGCTATTATTTGTATTTTATGCTGTTACTAAATTATATTTTTGTTTCCACAAGAAGAGTAGGAAAAGAGAAGTAGGTACAGCTAGGTGAAGTGAAGGTCAAAGTGGAGAGTTCTTGCTTTTATCCTTCAGGAACTTACTGAGCATCTGATTCTGGTAAGTTTAAGGAGCTGTAAATCCTTTTGGAAGCCTAAATCTAAGGTTTCACTAGACAGTTTATATCTGAATGCTTGTCTATGGGGAGGAAGAGTAAGTGGCTTTAGTGTGTGTGCATACATGAAGAGAAAATATATTATGGCCTGAGGGTTAAATAGGAAGGTTAAATATTGGGGTGTTTTTCTAATACCCTAATATTAGTAGGGACCTATTTACTTAATAATATGACAAATAAAAGCAAGCTTTATGGTCAATTAAAAAATTACTACCTTCCAGTCTAAGACTTGATGTCTGGAGGGAATGGCTGGGAAATTTTGTTGAGGTAGTTATTTGTCAGTGTATTTACTGATTATCTTCATCATGTTAGAAACTGTATCAGACAGTCTAACATAAGTCTGAGGTAGGTACCATTGTTTACAACATTTCACAGAAGAGCAAACATCTGCTTAAGCAGCTTTCCCGGATTCGCACAGGGTAAATTGCCAAGCTGAGATTTATACCAAGCTGTTTGTGCATTAGTTGGAGAACTGTTTTTGCCTTAAAGAATAGCAATTCTAAATGGCATGGGCAATATTTGATCGGTGGACTGCCTTCCTTGAAACATTCCCTTCTTTTGGCATCTACTATATTCCACCTCTCTGAATATTCCTTTGCGAGATGCTCTCAACAATATTCCTGCTCCTCAGCGTTCAATGAGATTTAAGTTTTGTATTACTATATGATTTTATCTACTCTTTGGTTTCAGATACCATCTATCATCTATCAGTACTACAGAACTATCTCTTCTGAAGTTCATCCACATCCAAATGCATACTCTGTGTAATAACGAGTTTACCACTGAAAATATGAGAGGAATGGACATCAATATCCCTTAGTTCCTGCCGCAGAAGAAAAGGGAGAAGGTGCTAAGAAATAATTCTACATATTTTATATTCCTTCCATTCACATTCGTTCTTTGCATATTTGCTGAGAGCCCTTTATATTCCACATATTATATTGATGACAGATATATGAGGATAAATATAACCTTTTCCAGATCTTTTAACATTGAGTAGTCAATGTGTATGGTAGGAGTGGAGCTGGGTAGGGTAGAGTTACATGAAAGTAGTACGTTATAAAACACTGCAGAATCTTCTATAATAAAAAATGCATGACAGATGCATTCTCTGAAAGATCTAAATCAATATCCCTCAGCAAAATGGGGGAAAAAAAAGAACTCCGAGTTAAGTGCTGGTAAGAAAGCATAGTCCAACAAATACCAGGAGAATGGTTTTAATGACATCTCACAATCTGCTGCCATCTTCACAATATACTTACCCTGTGTTTGCCTTAGGTTCACTACCATGGTGGGAGATTAAAGTTCAAACTATTCAAGGCTTTTTCCATGTAGAAGATGCAGATCCATTCACAAGCTGCCAAAATGTTGTTTTTTGTTGTTGTTGTTGAATTTTAGGTTTTGGGGTACATGTGAAGAACATGCAAGATTGTTGCCTAGGTACACACATGGCAGTGTGATTTGCTGCCTTCCTCCCCATCACCTATATCTGGCATTTCTCCCCACACTATCTCTTCCCAACTCCTCATCCTGTGCTGTCCCTCCCCTATTTTCCGCCCCCAACAGACCCCAGTATGTGATGCTCCCTTCCCTGTGTCCATGTGTTCTCAAAATGTTTCTTAGAAGACAGTACTTAGCAAAAGTTAAATATATTGGTCCAGGGCTGCTTGTTATTTACTACATACTTTTAAAATTATCCTCAAAAAAAAAAAAAAAACAATATAAATTCACAGTTAAGCTTTCATAGAAAGGAGCCCAATAAATTTTCAGTGCCCCTATGTTCTCCACTGAAGACTGATGACATTTTTTTCTTGCAAGTTGAAGTTTAAAAAATTCTAGAGTGAGGATACCATGTCCTGTTCTTTCTAGCCTTCCATTGGCTCTACCTTCAACTTTTGTATTTTTGCTATTTTTTATTGAAATTATTAATTTCATAATTTTTATTTGTGCATTTACTTAGAAACCTTATTAAATAATAGCTGGAATATATGATGGTTATCTTGGAGACATCTGTTTCTCTGATAGTTTTACCAATTTTGGCCTGTTTATCTTGAAGGCCAAAAACTTGAAGAAAAGTTGCAAGATTGCATATTTTACTTCTGAAAATATAATTTGTATATTTTTTAAAAGAGACTAAAATAAAACCAGGTTCAGTTTATTATGTAGGTACATTTTTAATGCTTTTATTTCAAACAGAAAATGGGTGGTTTGGATTTTTTTTTTATTTAGAATTTACTTGACTAAACATGCATTTATTTGACTAATTTCTATGACTAAATACAGAGATATGAGATAAAATCCAATCGAGATAGATAAGATAAACATGCACACGATACTGCTGTAAAGCTTCAAATTGATAACATGAAGTGTGAATCGTAAGTTTGGGCTAGGAAGTATCACATTTAATACATGAATATATCATGAAGAAATAAGGATACATAACTCCAAAGGATTCATCCACTGTTTTATTTCTCCAACGTGTTCTATTGGAAGCTACTGTGTAATCAATGTTAATATTTTATGGAAACTTGTTTGTGGTTTATAAACCTAGATCTGTGTTTGGAACTTCATAAACATCTATAATCATCTAAACATACCAAAATTGTATTCATTTTACAGATTTAAAATAAGGCCGAAATAAGTTAAATAAGTCAAACAAAGGGCAAATGTGTTTGAACAGAAATCATTGTGTTTATTGTTATATAACACTTGATATAACATATATATTTACTCATGTGTAAAATGTGCATAAGTATTAAGTATAAGAGGTAGTCTATAAACTTACTTACTTTATAGCATTTAATAATTAATATTTTCCAAATAGTTGCAGTGATCTCTGAATATTTTCTTAGACCATTTCTTTTTTTTGAGACAGAGTCTCACTGCATTACCAGGTGCCAGGCTGGAGTATAGTGGCGTGACCTCGGCTCACTGCAACCTCCGTCTCCTGGGTTCAAGCAATTCTGCCTCAGTGTCCCGAGTAGCTGGGACTACAGGCGTGTGCCACCACACCCAGCTATTTTTTTTCTTTTTTTGTATTTTTAGTAGAGACGGGTTTCACCATGTTGGCCAGGATTGGTCTTCATCTCTTGCCCTCGTGATCCACCCGCCTCAGCCTCCCAAAGTGCTGGGATTACAGTTCTTAGACCATTTCTTTCAAACTTTCTACATAAAGCTCAGAGATCTTATTTTAAAGCCAATATGGGTACTGCTGAAGACCATGGAAAAAGGAGCAGAAAAGACTCTAAGCGTCTTATTACCTTTTCAAAGAAGCTCCGCTTTGATATGTTTTATATATTTGGTTAGAAATTTTAAAAAGTAGGGCCAGGAGTGGTGGCTCACGCCTGTAATCCAGCACTTTGGGAGACTGAGGTAGGTGGATCACCTGAGGTCAGGAGTTTGAGACCAGCCTGGCCAACATGGTGAAACTCCACCTCTACTAAGAATACAAAAATTAGCCAGGCGTGGTGGCACACACCTGTAATCCCAACTACCCAGGAGACTGAGGCAGGAGAATTCCTTAAATCTGGAGGGCGGAGGTTGCGGTGAGCTGAGATTGCACTATTGCACTTCAGCCTGGTGACAAGAGCAATACTCCATCTAAAAAAAAAAAATGTAAAAAGTCACCAATTTAGGCCAAGTTGTTAGAAGTAAATTTACCATGCTGGAGAATATGAACATGCTTAAGAGCTTCTGGCAAATTTTGAAGAGTACAGTTGATTAACAGCCAAATATGCTTTTGAGTATAGTATATGAATGAACCCCTTATCCCCACAAAACTGAGTTTTAACCAAAAGCATGACTGCTTTTCATTTACATGGTTTCAGATCTGGCTAATGAGCTCATATCTGCCTCATCATGTCTGATCTCAGTAACTCTGAAGTCAAGCTTTTCCTTCTGATTGGGATACCAGGACTGGAACATGTCCACATTTGGTTCTCCATCCCCATTTGCCTCATGTACCTGGTTGCCATCATGGGCAACTGCACCATTCTCTTTATCCTAAAGGCAGAGCCCTCGCTTCATGAGCCCATGTATTATTTCCTTGCCATGTTGGCTGTCTCTGACATGGGCCTGTCCCTCTCCTCCCTTCTTACCATGCTGAGGATCTTCTTGTTCAATGCCATGAGAATTTCACCAAATGCCTGCTTTGCTTAAGAATTCTTCATTCATGGATTCACTGTCATGGAATCCTCAGTACTTCTAATTATGTCTTCGGACCGCGTTCTTGCTATTTGCAATCCCTTAAGATACAGTTATATCCTCACTAGCAACAGGGTTGCTAAAATGGGACTTATTTTAGCCATTAGGAGCATTCTCTTAGTGCTTCCATTTCCCATCACCCTAAGGAGATTAAAATATTATCAAAAGAATCTCCTTTCTCACTCATACTGTCTTCATCAGGATACCATGAAGCTGGCCTGCTCTGACAAAAGATCAATGTCATCTATGGCTTCTTCATTGCTCTCTGTACCATGCTGGACTTGGCATTGATTCTTTTGTCTTATGTGCTGATCTTGAAGACTGTACTCAGCATTGCATCTTTGGCAGAGAGGTTTAAGGCCCTTAATACCTGTATCGCCCACATCTGTGCTGTGCTCACCTTCTATGTGCCCATCATCACCCTGGCTGCCATGCGCCACTTTGCCAAGGACAAAAGCCCTTTTGCTGTGATCCTGATTGCAGATATGTTCTTGTTGGTGCCACCCCTTATGAACCCCATTGTGTACTGTGTAAAGACTTGACAAATCTGGGAGAAGATCTGGGGAAGTTGCTTAACATATGCAGGAAATAAGAACATGAATAATTAGTTAATAAATTATCAACCAGGTAAGCATTTACTGGCATTTGCTATGTGTTTAATGCCACAGAAGTCGCAAATGAAGAACTGGAGGAAGGAACTGAAAAGCTGTGTAGTGCAGAATTTATAATAAAGTTGAGAATATAATTTAACAGGATAGAAAAATAATCAAGAGATATATAAGATATAGAGGTTTAATTAAGATTTTAACAGGAGTTGAAACAAAACACTTATATGATGAAGCAGCTGGATTTGAGTCAGCACATGAAGAATTAATAAAATTAGGGCAGATTGAGATTATCATTCAGTTGGTATCTACTAAAAGCACAGATGATATGCAAAGTCTAATCTCCTACTATCAAGGAAAGGTAAAATAGTAGAGCACATAGCAACTACGAGGAATGCTGATCTGATTAGAATAGAAAGTATAATTTAACAAATAGCAAGTGATAGTTTTTCATAAGATAAGTGAACCAGATTTTGGAGCACTTAAGAAAAGCTTTGAAAAGTCTAAATTCTGGAGGTATTGGAATGCCAATTTAGTCTCTGCATGATAAATTTTTTTTTAATTTTTGTTGCATTTTAGGTTTGGGGGTACATGTGCAGAACATGCAAGACAGCTGCATAGGTACACACATGGCTGTGTGTTTTGCTTCCTTTCTCCCCTTCACCCACATTTGGCATTTCTCCCCAGGCTATCCCTCCCCACCTCCCCCTCCCGCTGGCCCTCCCCTATTCCCCCCAATAGACCCCAGTGTTTTGTATTCTCATTTTTCATCACCCGCCTATGAGTGAGAATATACGGTGTTTCATTTTCTATTCTTGTGTCAGTTTGCTGAGAATGATGTTCTCCAGATTCATCCATGTCCCTACAAATGACACGAACTCATCATTGCTGATTGCTGCATAATGTTCCATAGTGTATATGTGCCACATTTTCCCAATCCAGTCTATCGTCGATGGGCATTTTGGTTGATTCCAGGTCTTTGCTATTGTAAACAGTGCTGCAATGAACATTCGTATGCATGTGTCCTTATAGTAGAA